GGGCCATGTGAACTATTAGGTGCACCTGGAGGAACATGGATGAGTGGAGGGGTGGGTTTGTGGGAAGGGCTTGAGCTGGGGGTTGGGGGGCACTGCACAGGTGCCTGTTTCTTACGTTTTGCATCCGGGAGTCAGCCTCCACAATGTTTTTTTCCACCTGGTCTGCATTTTTCTGCAGTCGCTCTATGAGCTCGGAGAGTTCCTTGTTGGAGATGCTGTGGGGAGAGAGAGGAGTGGGAGGTTGGTCATTACAGGACTGTAAAGGGGAAGAACCATCTCCTGTGATGCTGCCAGACTTGTTCCAGGCATGGCCTCACTCGAGGTGGCTGTGAGCCAGCCCTGATCTTCCTGTACAGCAAACCTGACCCCAACTCCGTGTGTGGTGGAGCATGGCACGGAGCCCTGCTCTGCCTGCCAGGCACTGCAGCTGCGCATGACTCACTGGTGCCTTTCTAATACTTTCCAAAATACTGAGCTGCTCCAACAGGAGGGGACTTGTAAAAGGGGGGGTGGATGGGTGGGTGAGTATTGCTTGGGCAGGGAGTATGTCCCCTCCCCACTGCCAGAACAGGCTCTACCTTAAGAGTTGGGATTGCAACTAGAGAGGGCCAGGGACAGTGTGACACCTGGATGGAGGAACAGGGAGTCTCAGGTGTAGAATATGGAGATCTGTGTTCAGCCCTAACCAGGGAAGTGCATGCATACACCACCTGCTTCTCACAGCACAGAGGACCTAGAGCTATGTGAATGAAGGCAGAAATGCCTATTTGTTAAGGCTGCATCATGGGCTCATCACCCCCACCTACTCTCTGCCTTCCCCAGAGACACAAGAGGGAGGCAGTGGTGTAACCTGGAGCCAAAGTGAAAGCTCCCTTTCCTTCTCCTGTTAATCAGATCCCTTGTTTGGCCCCAAAAGGCAGGGTTCTACAGGGGACCTATGTGGGGGACTGAATGTTACAAGGCCACTTCTCTGGATCTGGGAGGAGGAGTGGGCTTACTGACGTTGAAGAGAGTTCTTTCTCTAGCCTCTGGAGACAAGCACACAGGTCCTTGGCTGGGAGGCTCTGGGGTGACTCCAGTGCCATCCATGGAGCAATAGCAACTTGCACCCACTGAGGACGTCACCCACTGCGTAAACTGGAGGAGGCCGCTGCTGGTGGCCAGGCCCTCCACCCAACATACCTGGGCAGTGCAGTGGCTGTGTGCTCCTCTTACAGGTTATCACAATGGAGGCTTCAAACTGGAGCACAGGTAGCAACTTTGCCAGGAGAAGTGAAAAGGGGCTCTGGCTGAGCTGGCAAGATCCATACCCAGCAGACCCCAGCAAAAGCTGCACTCAGCACATCCTGCACTCTAGCCCTAAGAGGCTTGTGATGAGGCTGTTTGAGATGCATGCCTGGTCCCTGGTGCACCTCATAGCTTGTTGGGGAGATGACCACCCTACCCTATACCTAGGTTTGATAGCCACCATCTCTAACTGCCAAAGCATGTGGTATGAACAGCTACCAGGAACAACACTGCATGTTTCCACAGTTTTAAATGTAATGCATCAGCAGTGTGAATAGCTCAGTGTCTATTCCCAACAGGCTGCAAAGTATGTGGGATATACAGAGGCTGGGGGTGAGTATGTATTTTGGGGGAACCCTTGCTATTCAGGGCTCTCCCTGCCACACTGAACCTGACTTCTTAGGAGAAGGACATTGGCTTGTGAGGTAAGTGGTTGTTATCTAAACCAAACAGAGGGAGACAGGGCTACCTGCTTTCTCCAGGTGGATTGTCAACCCCAGAGTGCTCTTGTCATTGTGAGGCTCTGGCAGAGTGGTTAACCTTGCACACACGACTAACTGTGCTGATTTCAGTGGAACAGCTGGCAGCACAGTGGTGGGCAAAAAGCAGCCTGCGGGCCAGATGTGGCCCACCAAGCTGTCTTATCCAGCCTGCGAGGCCCCTAAAAAATTTAGAAAATTAATATTAATCTGCCCTGGGCTGCCTGTCATGTGGCCCTCGATGGCTTGCCAAAACTCAGTAAGTGGTCCTCCGCCCGAAATAATTGCCTTCCCCTGCAGTAGCAAGAGCTACACACTGATTGTGGGAACAGGATCAGGCCCCAGCTGACTTCCCACTGCCCAGCTGTAACTGAAGGACGCTTTCCAAGCCTCAATGTCAATTGGTGCTCAGGCCAGGGGCCAGCAGTGCAACTTGCAGTGATGTGTGTCTTCCCCTCAACTTGAGGATCTTGTTGGTCTAGTTAGGGCACCTTGTCTCCTGCGAGTGAATATTCACCCTTCTGGGAGGGAGGGAAGGAGTGGTTTCAGGCATGGGTGTAGTCTTTATGGCACTCTGGTAACCACCCAAGAAAGCAGCATGGTCTGAACCTTGTAGCTATTTGCCCAAGGTGGGTTAGAGCTGCCATTTTGATCTTGCTGCACCAGGGTGCAAGTGGTTGCATAATGTGAAGAGCAGCAGTAAACCAGTGTCAAGGTTCTCCTCTTGCTTGGCACCCCCTTGGGTCCCAGTGGTGTGAGTGAGGGGAGCACTCACCCCTGCTGTCAATAAGCCACAGTCATAGGCAACTTGTTGATTCTCCAGAGCCCTGTGACCCTGGAGTGATGCGCCAGCCGAGTGGATCCCAAGGCATAGCTGCAAACCAAGGTTCAAGTCTGGCCTTACCCCTGTGCTGACAGGACTCTGGCTGGCAGGGGCCAGGAAGGGGTCCAGGGGCTGGTTTGGCCCCTGACAAGAGTTCTACCTTGTACCACAGCTGCCGTGGCTGGCTGGATGGCTGCACCACCTGAGAATAACTTGGGCCTTGGAATACCTAATACACCAAGTGTAATGAGAAGCACCAGCAGATGGGTGGAACAGAGTTGGCTGTGTTGGCTCTGAAGGAAAGTGATCTACGGACATTACCTGGTGTGGGCAAAAGCAGACTGTATAGTGGCTGTCCTGACATGGTGTTAGCTGGGCCAGTGCAAAGTGCCTTCTGTGAAAGTGTGAATTTGCCTTGGTGTATGGACATCTTAATTCTTGAATCTGTTGTCAGGTTTACAGCTGCCCTTCTGGGTGTCAGGCTGTGACCTGCTGATGCCTAACCCAACATGTTCAGCTCTGACCATCTACAGTATTTCCATTTCCTCTCGAAGACCACCAAAATACTTCATAAGTGGGAGACAGGGACCCTTTCACCCAGCCCTGCAATCATGGCAACAACACCATGCTGCCCAGCAACTGCAGACAAGAGATGAAGAATCCAGCACCCACTTAGTTAGGGGGCGTAATTTAGTAAGGCAGGGCATGATGAGCTGAACTGGCACTAGCTGTCCTACCCCCATGGAAAAATACTACAGGCTCTCTTGTAGCTTTTACAGGGGCTTTTACAAAAGACCAGCACAGGGTGCTTAGCAGAGCAGAGAATGGGGCATGGGAAGCCCTAAATTAGAATGTTGTTTCCAGTAGGAGTTTACTGTATGGCTTTAGGCAAAGCACTTAATTTACCCTAACCCGAGTCTCATATAAAATTGGAGATTAGAGTCCATACATCATTAGGGTAGTGACAGGATTGCCCATTATATAGTGCTTTGCAAATCTTAATAGCTCATAACTTCCAGTAGCTAAGACCAGCTGTATGGTACCTCTGGCAGCATAATGTCACAGCATGTCATGCTGGGATGCAAGTCGCTGCAGAGTTGGATGGAAAAGCCCCGGTGCTTTAAGCCACATCCTGCAGCAGTTTCAGCCCAACATCAGCACTTACACAATACATGAAAGAGTCACTGATGAAGGTGACCAGCTCGCAGGCCAGTGCAGCATGTAGCCAAGAACATCCACAAAGGTAATCATGGGACCACAATGTGGAACATGAGCGAATACTCCCTTGTTTCAGAACCAGATTCTCATTAGCCTGAAGTGCTCCAATGCCTGATTCAGAAATACCCACTTGCTCCAGGCAGAGAAAAGAACAGTGGTGACCTGCCAGACTCCACACACCAAGACGGACTTTTACCTGATATGGCCAAGGTCTTCATGGACTCAGTGCCCTTCCTCTATAGCTGGGACCCCATTAGCATCAGTGGCTTCAGGACAGCAGGTAGTGGAAGTCATTCCTGCAGCAGTGACTTCTGAACGCTCTCCGTTTGTGATCCCACTTACTGAGATGACTCCTTGCAAGTCCACACATGCATACAAATATCTCTGTGATTCACAGGGGACAGGGACTTACTGCACCTTAGCTGTGCTTGGACCACCCATTACCCCATAGTGGCTGCATCCGCACAAGACACTGACTGCGCAGTAGCTTGTTACTACTGCTCAGTAGTGTCACATGGCACGAAGCGTGATGCAACACTACTGCGCAGTAGTAATGAGCTACTGCACAGTCGGCATCACTAAAAAGCTGTTCCGGGATGCTACTGCGCAGTAACTCTGGTCACTGCGCAGTCGCTTACTACTTGTATATGCAAGTACTAAATGACTGCACAGTAACAACTGAACAGTCAGCATCTCATGTAGACTTGGCCAGTGAGAACTAAAACAGTTGTTTAGCCGTGAGTCAAACATGGTTAAATTGTCTAGTTTAACTCTCACTGGGATAACAGCTATTCCTAGTTAAGACCTGCCTGCCCAGTAACTGCAGCCATCAGAGTCCATGGGGCTTGCTGCCACATTCTAAATGCTGAGTGACTTTACAGATGCAAGCCCTAAGAGTGTGCATGCAACACAAACAAATAGGGGCCTAAGCACAGTCAGCATGGGATGCAAACAGTCCCCCAGGAGTGTAAAATTAGTGATGAGTCAGCAGAACCATTCAGCTCTCTGCACACTCCCCATCCTTTTAAATCCTGCTGCACCAGCAGGATTCATTCAGCAGCTGGTGTACACACATAATAGCATTTCTCCCTAGGCAGTGCATAGTTCCATCTTCCTCTTGGGAAGACTCAGTCATCAGAATACCACTGGCTGGTGTGGGCTGCCAGCACCCGTCACCATCTTTACATTTAGCACCTCTTGATTAAAAATGCCTTATTGCAGGTATACACCCTTTCATAGCAGCAGAAAATGAACGGAATGCAAGAGAAGAAAATAACCTTGTGTTTGACTTTCAGGTGGGTTACATGATATTAATAATTCTAAGCTAGATGGGGCACTTTTAATAAGATAGAACCAGTTTCATAGAGCAGCTATATGTACAAAATGCAGTTGTCCCTCAAGATTGTTA